GTAAGTGGCATTAGGTGAATTGCTCCTCCAAAGAGTTAGCACAAACATGACGGACTGATTGCAGGCTCTCTAGCCTTTACACTTTACATTCTATCCACTGCCGCCCATTCTTTAAAATTCACATGCTAGGAATGAGCGCAGGAATACTAAAATTTTTAAATGGCTTCAGAGTATAAAAAATCAATGACAGTCTAGCCTATGGTCCTGGATTAACTTAAGATATTATTCTTGATATGATCAATTTTATTTAAATGCAGGGTTTGCGAGAACAATCATTCCTTGCCCGTGCTCCGGTGTGTAGAGTTGAGAAGGCAGCGGTTCAGACATAAGCAGCAGCAGTTTCTATTAGAATATTTTTGTCCTTTAAAAAAGAATAGATGGTAAATCTCTAAGAAACTTCTGCCTTAATTTATGATGTGACCCTACTCTACTAAGTTCCTGGACAAGATGTTGAAAAAGAAATGTCTGCTATAACGCCTTCCATCATTAGAACAGCATGTCATAATTGATAATGGGGATCAAACACATACACACGCAAACACACACACACACACACACACACACACACATACAGCTTTAATAGCTAAAAATAATCATATTTAACTGAATTAAACCAGATTAGAAGGATAGATTTATCAATGGTTATCACTCAGCTGGTAGTGATTTTATTTCAATCTCATGTACTTGTGAGCTAGCTTTTAGAATGAGTGGATGAACATCATTGCAGACCAGTGTTGACAACATTCATGCAGTGTGTGAAGTTTATCCTCATTGCACTTTTCCTGGGTAGTGAACGAGGGCAAAAAGCTCCAATTTCCAGGCACAATGTCCAAAATCTAATCTATGCCTTTATTACATATCCCACCATATTAGAAAGCAGAGCATACGCCAAATGCTCAGGTTTTTAAATGCATTCTGTAGGCTAACCAACATAGATCTCTTCCAATCCCCTTTGTAACCCTTCTAACCTTTCTTTAATAAGTATCACTCTATTTCCAGATTATCATAGAAAAATAATATATAGGTTCAGGAGTAGACCATTGGCCAATTAAACCTGCTCCACCTTTATCATGGCCTCAGCTACACTTCACTACCTCCATCATCGACAATTTTTGTGGATCAAAAGTTTATCTAATTCATCTATGAATATTTTAAATGAGGCCGTCACCACTCCTGTCTGGAGTAGAGAATTCTAAAGAGTAATGTCATTCTGAGGGAAGATTTTTCTCCTTTTCTTGTGGGTTATGGTGAAACATGCGGCAAGATTGGAAATTTTGGCAAAGCTCATCTTGATGTCGAGATAATCTTGCGCATCTTTTATACTTTTCTTTAGCAGCTTAAAAAGATACTCGCTGGGCAGTGGCAGGTTTCGAGGTGAAAATGATCAATAATGACTTGCTAATAGTCCAACCCACCACAGGTTGTGATCTTACCAAATTTGCCAAACAAACTAGCTGTAGGGAAAGTTCAAACAAAATGTATTCTTTGTGGATTTAACTTACCATATATTCCATTATGTTTACATTAGACATCAGGTACCAAAATCTCAAGCATGCTCCAAGGGCATCAGTCATATGCAACTCACATCCAACATGTACCATACTCTAAAAGCCCTCATGGCACATTTGTAAGCACTTGTAGCACACTTCTGCACTTCAATACTCCGGCATTTATTATTGAAATATTGTTGTAAGGACACAGTGTGCTCAAGGACAGCTCATAGACCAGACCAGGAGACATCTCCAAGCTCTTTACTCGCTGTCATAGAGCTCACTGACTTTGAGACTACCTGGATTCTTGCAGCATCCCTGCCTTTCATTGCCTTGGTTGGCTTTTTGAGCATTATTTTATACAGTCTGTCCATGTTCTTCGTACGATGGTGAATCACCTCCCATTTCTGCACAGTGAACTTCATCTAACCATTCCAACAATGTGACCTTTTGAAGTTCTACACTGCCCTCCTCATAGTTAATAGTTCTTCCATGTTTTGTGTCATCCACAAATTTTTAAATTGTCCCCTCCTATCCAAGATTTAGATCATTTATATATATCAGGACAAGCAATGGTTGCAATACCAGGTCCTGGAAAACTCCGCTACCAACTTTCTTCCAGCCCAACAAATACCTATTAACCATTACTCTCTGTTTTCTATCCCTCAGTTAATTTTGTATCCGTGTTGCTACTGTCATTTTTATTCTATGAGCTATAACCTAATTCTGTTGCGTGGCACCATATCAAATGCCTTTTGGAACTTGACATCAATAGCCCTGCCCTCACCAACCCTTTCTTGTGCCTCCTCAAAAAACTCTAGCAAGTTATTAAGACACATTTTCCCTAACAAATCCATACTGACTCTTTTGAACCAACTGACATTTTTCCATATGATTATTATTTCTTGACATTACCCCAGCAACTAAATTAAACTGACGGGTCTGTAATTGCTGGGACAAACTTTATAAGCTTTTTTGAAGAAGGCCATAATATTTGCAATTCTTCAATAATAAAGTCATAGAGTATTACAGCACAGAAAGAGGTCCTTCAGGCCGTTGGGTCTGCACAGCTCATCAAGTGCCTACCTATCCTAATCTCATTTCCCAGAAATCCTCCAGCACTCCAAATCCAGAGAAAGTTAAAAATTAATTTTTAGTACCTCTGCAATTTCCATTCGCATTTCCTTCAAATCCTTGATGCATGACTGTCTTATCAACTGTACATACCAAATGCTTAGCCAAAACTTCCTCCTTATCAATTTTAAACCTTTCTAGTGACTGACTTTCCTTCTCTGCCACCATGACTTGGGCAGCATCTGCCTCATTGGTAAAGACTAATTCAAAGTATTCATTCATGCATGACTCTTGCCTTTATGTGTCAGTCCTCTTTTTGGTCTCTAATCAGACCTCCTCCTCCTTTTACTACCATTTACAATTGATAAACATTTTGGGATTTTCTTTTATGTTAGCTGCCAGTTTTTTCTCATAATCCATCTTTGCTTCTCACATTTGTTTTCTCAACTCACTTCTGAGACATCTGTATTTAGCTTGCTTCTCAGTTATATATTTTATTACTTAACATCTGTCATAAGCATATTTTTTCTTCTTTAACCTGATTAATATCTCCTTTAGTATCCAGGGAGTTTTGGAATTGTTCTACATTTCTGTTTTAAAGAATTATACCTTGACTGTGTCTAAACCATTCAAAGGTATCCTGGTATTCAACTACTATTTTACCAGCACAGCCCACCATAGCCCAGCCCAGCCCAGCCTAGCTCTGTTTCTTGTGCCATTGAATTTAGCTCTCCACCAGTTGATTATTCTTAATCTGGATTGAGCAATGTTGTGGTCTAACCAACCTTCTGTACATTTACCACAAGACTTTCCTTTTTTAATTCTCCACCCCCTTTGCAATATAAACCAACATTCCAATTGTTGGCTTTATTAATTGCTGTAACTGCATGCTAGATTTTGATGATTCATGTCAAAGGTCACCCAAACCACTCTGCCTCACTATTCTGTATTCTGTCTCACTATTTAAATTATATTTTGGCTTTTTATTCTTCCTCTCACAGCGGATAACCTCATATTTTCCCAAGTTATAGAAGGATAAGGATACCAGAAAGGTATAATTATTTTCATATGCAGAGAGGATTATTAAGTACATTTAATTTTCTGAGCTGGCATTGAACATCCTACATGGTTTTATCTATCAGCACACATAAAAAATATTCCATTTGCTGATGAACGTCAATGCATGGCTCATCCTGGAGGAAAGTCGCTACAGTTTATTGACAGACTTTGAAGCAGCCTGCCCACAGTCATAATGTGCTGCAGGGTGGGCTTAATTGATGGATAGTGAGACTTCTACCCATCAGTGGTAGGGAGCCCCATTCTCTCGAGTTGCCAGCCATTTTAATTAGCTGCCAGCTAATTAGAATGGCTAGCAGCTCCAGTTCCAGTGGCACCAGAACTCCATACTAGAGACTGCGATAAAGGATAAAGGCCCAAGTGGATCCTTGAACCCAGGTATGTAACAGGCATTGGGTAGAAACATAGAAACATAGAAGATAGGAGTAGGAGGAGGCCATTTGGCTCTTCGAGCCTGTTCTGCCATTCGTCGCGATCATGGTAAATTGTCCAACTCAATAGCCGAATCCTGCTTTCTCCCCATAACCTGTGATCCCATTTGCCCCAAGTGCTAGGGATAGGGAGGAGTTGGCCACCTCAAGGAACTATGCAAGGAGTGTTGAGGCTTGATTTTTAAATTTCAAGCAGGGGAGAAGTCATGCACAGTGGTCATCTTCTGAAGAGATTACTTTGTTAAAAATTTGCAACACAAAACCAGCTGCCTGCTCCCACCTGCCGACCAGTTCCAACTTTGAACAAGATCAATTAAAACTTAATTATTTATTTACATATACTAGGCAGGCTGCTGCTTTTAGTTCTTATCCACCCTCCGTACTTTGGGACTAAGCTTGGAAGTGGGTATGAAGTTTGCAGTGGGTTGGACAGCCTACCTATTTTACATGCTGCACCACCCTAATGATTCCCAGCAGCAACATGTAATAACAAACACTGTATCATTTTGTGTCTCCCCCAAAGCTTACTTACACAGAATCATAGAATCTGTACAGTGTTGAACCAGACCATTCAGGCCATTGAGTCCACACCGACCCTCCAAAGAGCATTCCACCCAGACCCACACCCCTACCCTATCCCTAGAGGTTGTAAATTGTTCACTGTTCAATATTTATAGGGCTTGAATTTCCACAGGGATTCTCCTGATTGTCTGTCATAACATCAGCAGAGATACCTCAGAGGTGGTGCAAATAGACTTCAGGAAAAAAAATGACAGAAAACAGGAAATGACCAGAAGGATATAATCGTTTCCACCTGTGAGATGATAATAAGTACATTTCATTTTCTGAACTGGCATTGAACATCCTACATGGTTCGATCTATCAGCACAAATAACTAATACTACTCATACTGTCCAATGGTATTTACCTGGGCTGTGGTTTGTTTCATTTTCACAGTTGTTTTGCTTTTCAATAACTTCCTCAGGCAGGTTCAAGATGACAGATGGAGTTTTATCATGATTGTCCATGTCTCCATTCATTTTCTTAACATCAGTGTTGTCTTCTTTGTCTGAAAATATAGAAAATAATGACGAAAAATGGAGATATGAACCTGGATTATTCAGTTTCTGCGAGCTTTCTTCAGTTTCTTTACCATCAAATGAGTAGGTAGAAATAGTGGGATGGATGGCAGGTGAAGGAATGGAAAACGACCGCAAAAAAGAGTCACAAATCGAGAAATTCCTTTGGGCCCACTTTGCTAGTGTAACTGAAGGTGGGATATCTCAACTGGCCTCATCCTGGCTGGATCTCTCCTGGTAACAAGGAGGCCATTGCAGTTGTTATATGATTTGTCAAGAGCTGCAAGGACACATTGTCCTCCTCAATCCAAGCAAAATCACTTTTTTAAGTTAGAGTTTAAGTCTTCCAACTGATCAAAATGCAAATTTTCTTTACCTATTTTTGTTTATTTACTAGAGATCCTTTCTGGGGTTTAATTCCTTGTACTAAATTTTGCGGTCTTTATGCTGATTCAAAGGGAGTCAGCCAGTGTGATTTCAACTGAGGCCTTTCAAGAATGTAATTTTTTTTTCATATATGAACAGTAGTGAACCTTTTCTGCCATTCTGGCTGATCTGTGGCCTAACTCCATGTACCTGCCTTTGGCTCATATGCTTTAATAACTTTGCATAACAAGAATGTATCTACTTCAGATTCAAAAGGAACAACTGATCCAGCATCCACTGCCATTTGTGGGAGAGAACTCCAAACATCTTTGTGATCCCTTTGTGTGTAGAAGTGCTTCCTAACATTTCTCCTGAACGGTTTGGCCCTAATTTTTAGACTATGACCCCTGGTTCCAGAATCCCCAAGCAGTAGAAATAATTTATCTTTAGCTACCCTCTCTTTTCCTGTTAGCAATTCTTGAAGTATTTCCTGGTGAACATCACTCTCCCACTCAGGCCCTCTTATTGTGGGAGCAAAGGTAAAGGATTGCAAGAAGGACCAATATGGTCTAAATATATGAAACCTCGCCAGAACCAAATCATAGTCTTTTTTTTTGTGGGAAAACCTGCTAGGTTGAAATTAGATTTATTCTTTCCCACCATGGGAATTTCAGACCATTGATTCAAGGGGGCTAAAATTCTTTACTGCTAATTTACTGAAAATAGAATGGTCAGTGCATCTTTCATTCACTTTGCAACCAATTTCCAGCGTAGTGAATTAACTTAAAGTTTCACAGCGAAAATTTAGCTGTCTGTGGTTTAATGCAACAATGAAGGCTGAACATACTAGGACCAGATGAGATTCACCTTTTGAGTGCTGAGAATAACAAAGTAACAAAATTAAATAACTGTAATTGCTTTCATGTCTGTGTTTGATGTATCTGTCAAACATCTCATTTTACTGACATGATTCATTCGTCACTTGGTACTGCCTAGCAGGTGCAGATTTTAAATGACTGTATCTCTATATATTAGCTGCAAAGTAGATCTTCTGTCTAACTCATTGCCTGACTTCTAATACGCACGAACTACTAAAGATTCCATGCCTGGAATTTTCAGTGGATTTTCTGCCAATCCGTCACATGAACTTTGGTGAAAGAAGAGTGAAAGCCCCAGAGAACCAGTGTTCTATTCAGTGTTTGTGCCATTTCTGGGATATTTACAGTGAGAGAATGGGGAATGCCAATGGAAATTTGACTCATATTGATCCCAATAACCTTCAAAACAGTCTTAATTCCCTTTGAATATGGTTTCAGAATTGCTAAGTTGAATTTTGATGTTAAAATGGAGATCTTGCTCAGAGATACTAGGTGCCATTGATTTAATGAGACTCTGCTGACACCTGAAAGAAAGAAAGTGGAAGAAAGTTCAGATTGTTCGAGAAATAAAATAATTCTTCAGTCAATACTTCAGATGTCTGATGTTTTAAATGTAAGGAGAATCAGACAGGTGCATTTACCTATTTGATTTCACCAAAGAAAATCACTCTGATTAATTGTGTAACATTGTGCTACATTAAGTGGCATTAAGTATTGAAATAGATTGAAAGTATAATGAATTAATTCTATATTCAGAGTATGCTCGACAATTCAGTTTATCCAGTCAATCCTGGCTTATATTGTTGTAATTAGCCTTCCGTCATTTTAGCATTTTCACTTGAGGACCAGTGTTATCCTTATCTATAATTATCTTAAAACTTGTGGAATTATGATCTCTGTTCCCAAAATGCTTCCCACTGAAACATCAATTACCTGGCCAGGCTCATTCCCCAACACAAGGTCTAGTACAGCCCCTTCTCCAATTGGATTAAGTGCATATTGTTTCAGAAATCCTCCTGGATGCATGTAACAAATTCTGCCCCATCTAAGCCTAGGCACTAAGGGAGTCCCATTCAGTGTTGGGAAGTTAAAATCACCCAATACAACAATCCTGTGCTTTTCACATTTTGTTTTCATTTGGAGAGTGCATTTCAGCCTCATTATGAATGGCACAATGTACATTATTGAGAATGATGTTTAAAATTACTACACTACTCTCACTAAGTCCACATTGAGCTTGGTCAAGTCATTGATGGCCAAGTAGATTTTGATTTGTGGAAATAACATAATTACTAATTAAAATGACAGATGTCTATTTACGAAAAGAATATCAAAAATGCTTTAGCAATTAAAAGCAATTAATAATTCACTGACTTCTTAGCTTGACTAAAGTATCTACCCTCAACCCCAGCCCCACCTTCACAAAGTCCTGACTTTTGACCCAGTATTTGGGAATAACACCTATGTAATGCTTTGCATTTATTCTTTAATTTTCCCACATCCCCATAATCTGACTCATTCCTTCATCAGCACTGCACCAAATCCTCCTTGTTGGGCAGGTTGTTTAAATAGGCATAACCTGAAGCAACTGAGAGGCTAATTATCCAGAGAGGTTTTTGTAGATTGGCAGCAATTTATAAGTTTTCAGCACTGCCCCTTGACAAAGACCACCTTTTGAAGGTTTCAAAACTGAGCAGGAAAAATGATCTTTTACATATGCTTGCAACTTGGTATTGAAACATCTGAAATGTGAGAGACCTCAAAATAAACCTTTGAAAAACTGTCATAAAGTACATTGATATACCTGGAATTATTTCGAAGGCACCTGGGCTATTTGGACCACTCAAGGGAATGTCAGCATCTTCAGCAGTTTTGTGGAAGAGGTCAAAGGAATACCTCTGCAAAATGCAAAGTAAAATAACAATGTTAGCACCAGTCTTGCCATTTTCAATGCAGACAAGAATAAGACAAGGCTACTATCAGGTATATGATGTACACCATTTCCCAGAGGAACCTGCAAATTATGTGTTCAATCCCATCAGAAGTGCCACTGTACAGATAATTGTTATCAAGTATCACGCATATCAGGCAGGAAAATTCCCTGTGGAAATTCAGAGTTGAGATATATCAGATTTGTGTGTTTGTTAGTGTCTTTCTGTGCATACAGTGAGAACTCATAAGCTTTGATTATACACAAAATGTATTGACAATCACAAGCACACAAGGTTTCTATTTGGCCCACAGAATTTTTGACACTTCATTGAAAAAGCTAAGCAATTTGATTCATGCTGCTGCTCGTCCCACAATCTTGTAAAGCTTCCCCTTTAGGTATATATCCAATTCTCTTTAAATAAATAGTTATTGAAACTGCTCCCAGCTCTATTCCAGACCATAATAATTTACTCCTTTAAAAGTGTTTCTCACATGCTGCTTCCAGTTCTTTTGCCAATTATTTTAAATGATAAGTTCACTAAAAATAGAAGCAGGCCATTCAGCCCATTGAACCTGCTGATGATTATGGCTGATATGCATATATCCTCCCAAATCCTTCTGCTCCTGCACCCCTCTTTAGAATTGCACCTTTAATTTTATATTGCCTCTGTGTTCTTCAAACAAACTGAATCACTTCATCTGCTGCTTATGCATCCATTTCAAGTTATCTCTGCTCTTTTGAAGTTTAACACTACTCTCTTTAAAGTTCACCATCCTTCAAAGTTGCACAACATCTGCAAATTTTGCCCTCTACACCGAAGTCGAAGTCATTAACATATATCAGAAAAAGCAGGAATCCTAACATTGAGCCCTGAGGAATTCCACTACCAAAAACTACCTCCATTGTGTAAACCACCATTTGTTTAATGACTGGTGTGGAGACAATGGGCTGAAAGATCTCTTTCTATGCTGTATTAAACACCATGACTTTATTATTCTACTCTCTGTTTCCTGACATTCATGCAATTTCATATCCACATTGCTAATGTCCCTTTTATTCCACGAGTTCTAACTTTGTTCCCAAGTCTGTGTGCAGTGGTTTATCAAGAGCATTGTAGAAGTCCGTATATAACACATCAACACCATGCCTATCATCTACCCTCCCTGGATTAAAACCATAAGACATAAGAAATAGCACAGGAATAGGCCACTCAGCCCATTGAGCTTCCTCCATCATTCAATAGGATCATGACTAATCTGGTATCCTTCATGTCCACTTTCCTGCCCTTTTTCCACAACTCTTGATTCCACTACAGATCAAGAATCTATCTCAGCCTTAAATGTACACAAGGACTATACCCTCACAGCTCTATATGGCAAGGAGTTCCAAAGACTCTCAATCATCTGAAAGAAGAAATTCTCCTCATCTCAGTTCTCATCAAAAAACTCCAGCAAGTCCGTTAAACACAAATTTCTAGTAACAAATCCTTACTAGCTTTTCTTAATTAATCTCTATTTCTTAATTAATCTCTATTCTTGAAGGGTCTAGGCCCGAAACGTCAGCCTTCCTGCTCCTCTGATGCTGCTTGGCCTGCTGTGTTCATCCAGCTCTACACCTTGTTATCTCAGATTCTCCAGCATCTGCAGTTCCTACTATCCATGTGCAAATCCCCTCTTTAGTCTCTATTTCACCTTTTGCCAATATTTTTGCTGTTTATATGTGTATATGTCATTATACTATGGCCTTAAGAGGTGTATTTTATCCTGTTATTTTTTTTAATGAAGAAAGGTTGAGACAGAGGTGACAAGTGGCTGAGGCAGAGGTGAAAAGTGGCCTGCTCACAGCCAATTAAGTAAACAGCTTGTGAGGCCTTGGGTTTTTTTTAAGTTGGAACAAGAGAAGCAGCCTGATTGGGTGGGTTAAGCTCCCACAGAACCAGGATTTTTAGTTTTAGCTTTCAGCAGTTGCTGGGATTATGAAGCTGGATGTGGAAGCTCTCATTCTTCTAACTGTTACAGCTAAAACCTGGGGTTCTCTTCCTGCTGTTAGAATTGCATGTGAGACAATCTATTTTACTGAATTCGCCTTTGCCAAGGGTGTATTTATGGGAGGTTACTATATTGGAACAGTTAATTAGCAGTAGTTAATATCTATATATTATTTTGTTAAGCATTTTAATAGAGATACAGTTAAGCCAATTGTTTTATTTTTATTTTGTCTGTATTTTAACTATAGTACAAAAATAACGTGTGTTTTACTTAAAGTCGAGTAGTTTGACCATGTTCTATGTCGAGCCTGATTTGCAATTTTTATATCAACTGCTCTTATCTGTTATTAGCATATTCTTTTTTGCTTCATCTTATTTTCCAGCTCTTTCATCATCCAAGTAGCTCTGGATTTGTTTGCATCCCTTTGCCCTCATGGGAAAATATCTTTACTGTAGCCAAATTAGCTCTTCAAAGGAAGTGTTCAAACCTTGACCACATGTTCTAGATTGACACCTCAGTGCTGCAATTTTTGAGCTGATATTTTTCAGATAAGTTATTGAATTAAGCATCTGTTTGCCATTTTAGGTTTACATTATGAATCCACAGTGGCATTTGAAAAGCCAAAGAGAGTACTACTTGGTGTCATTGTCTATATTAATTGCTCAACACATATCACCAAAACAAATTAAGGCGGCATGGTGGCATAGTGTTTAGCACTGCTGCCTCACAGTGCCAGAGACCCAGGCGACTGTTTGTGTGGTGTTTGCACATTTCCCCTGTGTCTATGTGGGTTTTCTCCCACAGTCCAAAGATGCAGATTAGGTGGATTGGCCATGCTAAATTGCCCACAGTCACCAGGGTTGTGTAGGTTAGGTGGATTGGTTGTGGAAAATGCAGGGTTACAGGGATAGGATAGGGGTTGTCAGGGTGAGATGCTCTTCGGAGAGTCGGTGTAGACTTGTTGGGCTGAATGGCCTGTATCCACACTGTATGAGTTCTAAAAAAATTTGATAGGTCAAAAATAAGGAGATTCAATTTTCAGAGGACTTGAATATAAAAGCAGGGATGTACTACTGAGGCTTTATAAGGCTCTGGTCAGGCCACATCTGGAGTATTGTGTGCAGTTTTGGGCCCCATATCTCTGGAGCTGGCCCTGGAGCAGGTTCAGAGGACATTCACGAGAATGGTCCCAGGAATGAAAAGCTTAACATATGAGGAACGTTTGAGGACTCTGGGACTATACCCATTGGAGTTTAGAGGATGAGGGGGGATCTAATTGAAACTTTCAGAATACTGAATGGCCTGGACAAAGTGGATGTTGGGAAGATGCTTCCATTGGTAGAAGAGTCTAGGACCCAAGAGCACAGCCTTTGAGTAAAGGGAAGGAGATAAGGAGAAAATTCTTCAGCCAGAGAGTGGTGAATCTATGGAATTCACTGCCGCAGAAGACTGTGGAGGCCAGGTCATTGAGTACATTTAAGACTGAGATAGATAGGTTCTTGATTATCAAGGGGATCAAGGGTTACGGGGAGAAAGCAGGAGAATGGGGTTGAGGAACTTATCAGCCATGATTGAATGGTGGAGCAGACTCGATGGGCCGAATGGCCTAATATCTGCTCCTATGTCACATGGTCTTATGGTCTTATAAAACAAAGAGCTGAAGATCTGAAACAAGATCAACAGCTGCTGGAGAAATCAACAAGTCTGGCAGCATCTGTGGAGTGAATGATGTTTCAAGTTCAGTTATCCTTCTTCAGAACTGTTAGAACTAGAAGTAGTGGTATTTATGCTGATGATGGGGGATTTGTGGGTATGGTAAAGGAGTGAGTGAATAGGTGGAGATGGAGCCCAGAGAGAGACAGAGAAAGAAAGTTAGGCAGACAAAACGATAGTTGATAATTAGCCATGGAAGTAGAAAAGCTGATAATGGCGACAATGAATAGGTGAAAGTGGGTTGACTATGCTGAAAGCTTTGCTCCCTTTGCTTATTCTGAGACCTATATTGATATGATTATAGTGAAATGTTGTAACTGCAGTTACCTGAACTAGCCACTGTGTGTCACATATGGTCTGAGAGAATCTGAGCCGGAGATTGGAGTGAGACATTTATCTCACAAAAACTGATTTAACTTCTCCCTTTTATATTTTCCTTCACTTTTAGCTACTCCTTAACATAATCACTGTCCTGCATTACGAGTGCATTGTGGTACGTAGAATCCCTGCGTCTTGTTCTCTGTAAGCCCTGCTTTTCATCCAGATTTGAGATGTAATTTGAGTGATGATAGTGGCTTGGGATGACATTGTTTTATGTTCCTTGTTAAAGAGAAGTCTTGTATCCTGACACACACATGCTCCTCTGGGATGTGATCGGCAAGCTGATGTTTTGCCAGTATTGAAAATTGGAAGGGTGAGAACTTAGGAAATTGTTCATTTAACACGGTTAGGAATATGACTTCATTAGTTTGATTCCAGGAGTAGTTCTTTCACAATACAAAGACAGCCATTCCTTAGTCATGATTGTTTGAAACTGAGACTTTTGACATAATAATTACTAAATAAATGACTTGAATGAAAATGTAGATGGGTGGGTTACTAAATTTGCAGATAATCCAAAGATCGGTGGGGTTATGGATAGTGTTGAAGGATACAGCGGGCTATACATCAGTTGCAGGTGTGGGCGGAGAAATGGGACATGGAGTTTAATCCATGCAAGTGTGAGGTGCTACACTTTGGGAGAGCAAATGTTAAGGAAAAGTATACAGTTAATGGCAGGACCCTGGCATTGATGTACAGAGGGATCTTGGGTTCAAGTCCATTGTTCCCTGAAACCAGCCGTGCAAGTAGATAGGGTGGTAAAGAAGGCATATGGCATGCTTGCCCTTTTTGGTTGGGGAATTTAGTACAAGAGTCAGGATGTCATGTTGCAGCTTTATAAGACTTTGGTTAAGCCACACTTAGAGTACAGCATTCATTCTGGTTGCCACATGACAGGAAGGATGTGGAGGCTTTGGAGAGGGTGCAGAAGTGGTTTACCAGGATGCTGCCTGGATTAGAGCGTATGAACTGTAAGGAGAGGCTAGTAAAACTCGGGTTGTTTTCTCTTGAGTGGTGCAGGCTGAGGAGAGGCTTGATAAAAGTCTACAAAATTATGAGATGCATAGATAGGGTTGATGATCGGAATCTTTTTCCCAGAGTTGAGGGGGCTGAGGGGGTAAAATTCAAAGGAGGCATGAAGGGCAAGTTTTTACACAGAAAGTGGTAGGAGTCTGGAACGCACGCTAGGGCTGGTCGTTGAGGCAGATGTGATACTGGTATTTAAGGGACTTTTAGATGAGAGTATGAATATGCAAGGAATGAAGGGATATGGACCAAGGGCAGGCAGAGGGATTAGTTTCATTTGGCATCATGTTCAGCATAATATCATGGGCTGAAATGCCTGTTCCTGTGCTGTACTATGTTCTGTGTTCTACGAAGCATAATGTTTCACAATTTACATCCCAATTTATTATGCAATTATTCTTGTGGCTCCTCATCTCAGTCTTAAATTAAGACAATCCTTTATTCTGAGACTATGTTCTTTGGTCATGGACTCTTCTAGATGGGAATTATCCTCTTAGCATTTACTCTGTAAAGCCTCTTGAGATTTCGATGAGATCATCTCTCATTCCTCTAAACTCCAGCTGGTAGAATCCCAACCTGTGGAGCCCTTGCACATAAAACAATCCTTCCATACCAGAGATCATCCTTGTGAGCTTTCTCTGAACTATCTGCATTGAAGTCATAGATCATAGAATCCTTATAGTGTGGAAACAAGCCCTTCAGCCCAACAAGTCCACACTGACCCTCAGAACATCCCGCTGAGATCCATCCCCCTATAACCCACCTAATCTACACATCCCTGAACACTATGAGCAATTTAGCACGACCAATTCACCTAACCAGCACAGCTTTGGACTGTGGGAGGAAACCGGAGCACCCAGAGGAAACCCACGCGGACACGTGGAGAATGTGCAAACTCCACACAAACAGTCGCCCGAGGGTGGAATTGTACTGGTTTCCTGGCGCTGTGAGGCAGCAGTGTTAACCACTGAGTCACCGTGCTACCATGAAATGATACCATTCTTTAAAAAATGGAGACCAAAACTGTTAACAGTACTCCAGATGTAGTCTCACCATCATCTTGTACAGTTACGGTAAGACTACCTATTCTTATACTCCAGTCCCTTTGAAAAAAGGTCCAACATTCCATTAGCCTCAAACAAAAAAATGAAATTGCTGGAAAAGCTCAGCAAGTCTGACAGCATCTGTGGAGAGATAACGTTTTGGGTGCAGTGACTCTTCCTCAGAACTGACAGCAGCTATGGGGTGGGGGAGGGGGTACGGAGTAAACGATAGTTGGAGGCACAGCCCAAAGACAGAGAAGAACAATTGGACAGACAAAGGTGTGGATAATGAACAGGCTAAGAGGGTGAATAGCTGTTAATGGGGACTGTTAGTGACTAACAATGGGTTATGTGTAATAACAGACCATGAGAATAACAAGGCCTGTTGCATGGAGGTTGGGGTAAGGACATGGGAGAGCTCAAGCCCAAAAATTGTTGAACTTGATATTGAGTCCAGAAGCACAAGAGTTCCCAAGCAGAAAATGAGGTGCCAATTCTCTGTCCTCACCTTCAATGCCATGGACTCTTACATTATGACCTAACTTTTTATGACCTACCTTATTGAACATCTTCCAGAAATCCAAATATATCGCATCTACTGGTTCCTCTCTATCACCCTGGTTAAAACTTTCTTGAGAAACTCTGATGAATTGGTCAGACATGATTTCCCTTTCATGAAACCATGCTGACGTTGCATCATTAAATTATAATTTTCCAAATGTTCTTCTATTACTTCATTAATAAATGATTCTAGTACCTTTCCAACAACAGATGTTATTCTAACTGTTATCCCCTATAGAAACACACTTTTTGTCTCCCTCCCTTTTTGAATGGGAGTATCATACTCGCAGTTTTCCAGTCCTCTGGTACTTCTCCAGAATCCAAGGATGTTTGAAAAATTATAGCCATGCATCCACTATCTGTAGCTACTTCTTTTAGGTTTCTATGATGCAAGCCATCAGGGCCAAGGGACTTATCTGCTTTTGTCCCCATTAATTAGTCTGATACTACTTCTCGAGTGATGGTGATGGTACATAATTCCTCCCCCATATTTTCTAATATTAATGGGATGTTTGAAGTATCTTCCATCATCAAGCCTGATGTAAAATATCTGTTTGACTGCTCTGCTACTTTCTTGTTCCCCATAACAATCTTCATTTTCTAAGGGGCCTATGGTCACTTTGACCTTTCTCTTTTTTTTTACATATTTAAAAAGTCTCTTACTCTTTCTTTATATTCCTTATTAGTTTGCCCTTATAGTTTATTTTCTCCATCTTAATTATATTTTTATTCCTCCTTTGCCGAATTCTGAATTTATCCGAATCTTTCATGCTATCACTTTTGCCTCTTTATATGCTTCTATCACAGAATCCCTACAGCATGGAAACAGGCCCTTTGGCCTAACAAGTCCACACCGACTCTCACAACATCCCACCAGACCCATCCCCCATAACCCACCTCATCTATACATGGACAATTTAGCATGGCCAATCCACCTAGCCTGCACATCTTTGGACTGTGGGAGGAAACCAGACCACCTGGAGGAAACCCATGCAGACATGGGGAGAATGTGCAAACTCCATCACAGACGGTCACCCGAGGGTGGAATCGAACCCAGGCCCCTGGCGCTGTGAGGCAGCAGTGCTATCCACTGAGCCACCATTTCAACTTAATTCTCTTCTTATCTTCTTTAATTAGCCATGGTTGATTTATCCCTTTCCTAGAGTCTTTTCTCCTTATTGGATATATTTTTGCTGAAAGTCATGGATTACCTCATTAAATATCTGCCACTGCTTGCTTACTATCATTCCTGCTAATCTATCTGTCCTGTTCACTTCAACCAACTCTCTCCTCATTTCATTGTAATTCCCTTTATTTAAGTAAAACACAGTTGTTTCTGACTCAAGTTTCTCACTCTCAAGCTGAATAGTAAATTAAATATTATGATCACTACTTCATATGGAATCTTTATCTTGCAGGTTATTTATTAAACCTGCCTCATTACCCATTGTCAGATCCAAAATAGCCTACTCCCTAGTTGGCTGCATAACATGTTCATCTAGGAAATTATCCTTAATTTATGCTATGACTGCTTGTCATAGCCATCCTTTCCAGTTGCTTGACTCAATCAATATGAGGATTACAGCCACCCATAATTATTGCTTTATTCTTTTTCCATGCTCCTGTTATTTGTTAATTTGTATCCTTTCCTACAGCATGAGTACTGTTTGGGGGTCTATGCACTACTCCTACAAATTTTTTTGTTCCCTTGCTGTTTTCTTTCCTCCATCCAAATGGACTCCACAACATCTGAGCCTAACTCATCTCTCGCAACAGTTCTCATTTAATTTCTTATAAACAGTGCCACACCACCACCTTTTCTATCCCTCCCATCTCTCCAAAAGGTGAAATATCCCTGACTTATTAACTTCCCAGCTTTGATCTCCTTGTAACAATGTTTCCCATAATGGCTACGAGATTATATTCATTTCCCTTAATTTGCATAGTCAGTTCGTCTATCTTATTTAAAATGCTTCATGCATTATGATACAAAGCCTTTAAATTTGTTCTCTTTTCAAATTTCTTGCTGGAAATGGATTTTATGACAATGGTTGCACGGCCATCATTAGGCTTTCTTTTCCAGATTTTTAAAAAATTTAAACTCCACTATCTGATGTGGTGAAATTTAAAGTCAAGGCTGCACAATATTTGCCAGGTCCCTGGAGTACTAGCCCAGTAACAAGACTAGCAGGCCATTTGCTGTCCTCTTGCTGGAAATGCAGGTAGAAACATAACTGAATGAAACTGGACCGACCTTTGTGGTTAACCAGTCAGGTGGCATTTACTGTTAAAGTTCACCTGTAAAACATGACAAGGTTCCAGCGGCCAACTTGTTCTGTTTATGCCTTACTATCCTACCAGTTAGGTTCTGGCTAGCTCAGTTGTTTAGACAGCTCATGTGTGGATCAGGTTAATGACACCACATTCAATCCTTATTCCGGGTGAGGTAAACTCAGGGACCTACCTGCTTGCCCTATTTATAGCAAAAATAATTCCCCATCACCTGCATTTAAATTGAAAACTCAAGAAGATCCTTCAAAACCTGTGATTGTTCTCTTATCCATGCAAAGAAAATAATTATCCAATTAGTTATATGACAATGGCAATCATAATCACTTTAGACTTGTGAGTTATTGAAAAATACCCTTTCAATACAATAAATTTACTCACGTGAATAGAGAGAATACTTACACGTTTCTTTCTGTGCTGGTAATAAGCCAGCATGATACTGAGAAACAAAATCAAAATACAGATCAGGATCAAAGGTAAGGCAATTCCTAAAACAAGAGAAAAATAAAGGGATTAAGTGAAAATCAAATACAATGGACACAGGCCTTAGCATAACATTACCAATAATCCAGTATAAACTGACATTAAACTTGAAATTTTAGAAACAAATCAAAACTGAAAGAACTGTGGATGCTGGAAATCAGGAACAAAAACAAAGTTGCTGGAAAAGCTCAGTAGGTCTGGCAGCATCTGTGAAGGAAAAGACAGAGTTAATGTTTCGGGTCCGGTGTTGTTGTTGTTACGTTAGAAACAAATCGGATAGTTGACTTGGAAAATCATGCCAGTGCAGATATGACGAACAAATGGCTTCCTTCTGCACCAGATCAATTCTGGGGTTTGTGACAATGGTGCAGTAAAGGCTACCATTGTGGATTAAGAATGAGGGGGAATAACAGAGCAGAGAATAGGGAACCTATTACCTTACTAGTAGTTACAAATGGAAGTTAAATTAGCAAAATAATAAACTAGACAATTTACATTTCCACTGACATAACAAACACTGTAACAATCAGGGATAAAAAAAATTGAAACAAATGTTTAGAAATGCCAGAGGCAGAAGGAGCAGTGTTAAAGAAATTGATGTTTAGACTAAGAAGAACAATTCCAGCACTGCTGGAATTATGGAAATGTTGCATCATGATATGCAATTGTTCCAGTTCAGTTCAGTGGGTGGTCTTTTTTTGACTTTGTGATGATTTCACTGCCTCAGAAACAGGGATCCTGGTGGGAGTGAGGTACGTGTTGCAATGCACTTTTCCAGCAGTGGTAACAAGACCTTTCATACCCATGGTTATTTTTCCTGGATAATATTGAATGTTCCATATAAAACTAAATACTGCTCACACCTAATGCCCACATGTTCCAATTCCCAGCAGGGATATATGGACAGCAAACCCAGTGTGAATCCTGGCTGACTTCTCCAGCCGAGGAGAACTGAGCTCAATTAAAACAACTCCTCCACTCTCCCAGTTTTTACTAACTGACCTACACCTTGGAGTGCCTTAGAGGATAGCTGGATATATGGAATACATCACAAGTCATGCTTTGGAGGCAACAACATTTCCACCTTCTGGGAAGGTGGAATCATGGATGTAATGAGCAAATCCCACTTTTATACTTTTAGAGTTAAGAATAAGAATATATCCACTGACAAGATAATAAATTACAAAAATCAAGACATTATGGCATTCCATGTTTTGATAACAAAGCTAAGAATTCTCTCAATGTTGCAATAATGAAGTCATTTTTTTCTTTTTTTAATTAGGAGAAGTGGGTTTTGATGGTGGGACCAGACTTATTGCCTAAATCTAAGTGCTGGTCAGATAGTAGGGGTGAGCTGTCTTCTTGAACTGTTTCCGGATTTTGATATTGTTATTGATTTTGATATTGGCACTGAAGGAATGGTGATATATTTCTAAGTCAGGATGGCGAGTGGCTTGGAGAGGATCTGACATGTGATGTTGTTTTGATGTATCTGCAGCTCCTGTTCTTCTAGATGGTAATGGAAGTGGTAGTGTTATCTAGAGATCTTCGGTGAATTTCTGAAGATGTTGCTTGTAGATGGGATATATTGCTACTACTGAGTGTCAGTGGTGGGGGGAGTGGACATGAATGTGGTGTCAATCAAGTGGGCTGCTTTGTCCTGGATGGTGTCAAGCTTCTGGTCTGTTATTGGAGCTGCACCCATCCAGACAAGTGGAGGTATTCCATCACAGGCTTTACTTGTGCCTTGCAGTTGGTGGACAGACGTTGGGGAGACTATGCTACACCATTGCAATATCAACGATTTGTTTTGAGAAGAATGCCCAAAAATTATTTCCAATGAACACCTAATTAGCTAAAGGCCTGAATTTACAACTTATTACCTGTAAATTTAGCATTGCATAAAAAATATAGCTTTCATTGACTTCAATGGACACGAGAATTGGGCTGTTTCTGTAATGGATGGCAAGGTTTGTAAAACCCAGTTGCAAAGCAGGAACTGGCCATCCAAACCAGAGACGTGTCTACCCTCTTGATTACATAGTGTGGAGCTGGAAGATCACAGCAGGCCAGGCAGCATCAGAGCAGCAGGAAAGTTGACGTTTTGGGTCGGGACCCTTCTTCAGAATTGTGGGAGGGGGAAGGGAGCTCCGAAATACATAGAGAGGGGAGGGATGCAGCTGGGGAAGGTAGGTGGTGGGCGTGTGGAATGTGCTGCTAGCAGTGGTAGTGGAGTCAGATACTTTAGAGGCTTTTAAGCGGCTCTTGGATAGGCACATGGCGGATAGTAAAACGTAGGGTATGCAGGGTAGTTTGATCTTAGTAGGATAATAGGTCAACACAACATCGTGGGCCGAAGGGCCTGTACTGTGCTGTACTGTTTTATGTTCTATGTTCTATGACCAATGGTATTCCATAAGGATCAGTGCTGGGGCCTTTGTTGTTTATAATAAATATGAATGATTTGGATGAAAATGCATGTGGTCTGATTAGTAAGTTTTCAGACATGCAAATTAGTGGAGTTATGGACAGTAACGAAGGTGATCAAAGAATACAGCAGGATATAGCCTGATTGGAAAGTTAGATGGATAAATGGCAGGTGGAGTTAAATCTAGACAATTGTGAGGTGATGCATTCTGGGAGGTCAAATGCAAGACGAAAGTATCAGTAAACGACAGAATCCTAAACATCATTGATATACAGAGGGATTTTGGGGTGCAAGTCCATAGCTCCCTGAAAATGGCAACCCAAGTGAATAAGGTGGTAAAGAAGGCATACAGCATTCTTGCCTTCATCAGTCAGGGCATTGAGTATAAAAGTATAAAAGTTGGCAAGCCATGTTGCAGCTGTATAGAACTTTAGTTCGGCCCACCCTATAGGAAGCATGTGAAGGCTTTAGAAAGGGTGCAAAAGAGGTTTATCAGGATATAACCTGGATTGGAGGTTATTAGCTATATGGAGAGGTTGGACAAACTTGGATTGTTTTTGCTGGAGTGTCGGAAGCTGAGGAACGATCTGATAGAAGTATATAAAATTATGAGAGCCATGGATACAGTGGATTGTCGGAGTCTTTTTTCCCAGGATGGAAATGTCAAATACTGGGGGACACAGGTTTAAGGTGAGGGGGAAAAGTTTAGTGGAGATGTGTGAGGAAAGCTTCTATATACAGGGTAGTAGGTGCCTGGAACATGCTGCCAGAGGAAGTGGTAGAAGCAGAGAAAATAGCAATGTTTAAAAAATACTTAGAAACATGAACAAGCAAGGATTGGAGGGACATGTGCAGGCAGATGAGATTAGTTTAGAGTGGCATCATGATCGGCACAGACATCATGGGCCAAGGGCTGTTCATGTGCTTTACTGTTTTGTATTCTATTTGTTTTGCCTTGTCTTTTCAGTGATTAAGGTTAATTTTCAGCTTTCATTCACACCAGCTAGTGGGCCATGACTACCATCTGCTGGTGAAGAGCTTAAAATACTATTCTGAGTTTATATCCAAACTTCCATTTTCAAGAAAAAGTCGAGTACAAAATTCACAAAACAAATCACCAACTTAGTTCCAAAGGGTTCAATCTACTACACTATCAAGAATTAAATCTCTGTTTTGCTTAAGTGAGCAAATACAAAAGGACCTCAAACAAGAATAATTCAGGTATTTAAAAATCACAATTTATTTTCTGTTACTGCAGTATTATTAATAAAATTAATTTCTTATATTGATGTGTGCTGGGTATAGAGATGGATAAATCGTAATTTATTGGAATTTATTGGAGGGTGATGAATGCCAAGCTGTCAGGCATTTTACAGCTTGAAATAGGGGAGATTTTAACTTTCAGTCCTCATCCACAGGCGCAAAGGAACTATCTTTCTGCACCTCTCTAGTTCTGTTGCCAGGTTGGCTTGAAGTTAAAATTGCAGTTAGGCTGTAATGAAATAATTATCAATTATCTGCAAATCTACAGAAGATCCTGAATGCTTTTTGACAGGTTTCCCTCTTGCATGCTCAAAGTACCACTGAAATTATAACTTAGGAAAAAAAATTTAAGTCACCCATTTCATAGAATCCCTACAGTGTGGAAACAGGACCTTTGGCCCAACAAGTCCACATTGGCCCTCAGGGCATCCCACCCAGACCTATAACCCACTGAATCTACTCATCCCTGAACACTACAGGCAATTTAGCATGGCCAATCCACTTAGCTTGCACATCTTTGGACTGTGGGAGGAAACCCACACAGACACAGGGAGAATGTGTAAACTCCACATAGACAGTTGCCCAAGGGTGGAATTGAACCAGGTCTCTGGTGGGGAGAGGCAGCAGTGCTAACCACTGAGCCACCATGCAGCCCAATTAAATCAGAAAGTTCTGGAGAAACTTGACAGGTCTGGCAGCTTCTGTGGTGAAAGAAACAGAGTTAACATTTCAAGTTCGATATGACTTTTCTTCAGAACTGATGCTACCCAATCTGCTGAGTTTCTCCAGCATTTTACATGTTAACTTCAGACTTTTCCAGCATACACAGTTTTTTGCTTTTATCAACCAATGTAACAGCCTGCCATCCAGCTTTCAATGGACAAGCAGGATTAAAATCAACTGAGTTCTGAGATCGTTCCCAATCAGATGTAGATACTCAATCACAGTTCTATACATGTGCTACAAGTAAATCACACAACGTGTGAGGAGTGTCAATTTCATACAGAAATGTGACACCTCCAAATGAAATCCTTACATTTCTTTTGTAGCCCTATCATAAAGAAGACGTAAATAAAAATCAATACAAATCTTTACAGAATCATAGAATTGTGGAGCAGAGATGGAGGACATTCAGACAGTTGTGCTTGTGCTGAATTGTTGGTAAACCTGTTCTTTCTTCATAATCTTCTCCATAGTCCCTTCAAGGTCAGAAATCACATTACACCAAGTTATAGTCCAACAGGTTTATTTGAAAACACAAACTTTCGGAGTGTAGCCCCTTCATCAGGTGAAGTGATTTGTTGGAATGGTACC